CAATACGAACAGTGGCTTCAATGTTCTGTGTCTTTTAAGGCAACATATGATGGCACTTCATCATCCTTAAAGACTCGCTGATCTCCTGGTTTGTTGGTGGTTTCTAAGAACTAGCACTCTAACACTCACGTTTGTTGAATTCAGGTAAAGCTGGAGTTCAGACAGGAAGATATTCTAAGTCACTGATTCTTCACCTTTGACAAACTCCTGATTGTCATTTTTAGCTTTCTGCTGAGCCAAAACACACAACCTCTCTAATAAAAGCAGAACGTCTTTGACTAGATTTTATTCCCTGTTTTAAAACCTCCTTTCAGAGGGACGTCTGTGTACTTATGCAAGCAGCAGCTGAATAATATTCCTGGTCTTGACACGTTCTGCCTGTGCAGTCAGCATTATTGCCTCCCTGAAAAGATAAAGCACCGATGCTTCCTCCTCTTTCCCACCTGCTCCGCTTCTGTCTCTCGTGCTTTAACTTATTCGCTGAGCTGGACAGAAGCAGGATTGTGGCGCTGATGTCCACCACCGTCTCTTCCCTCCGTGGTGTCTTACAGCAGATGTCCTCTGTGGGACCTCCACCACCCTGACACAGCTCTGCCCTGCAGCTAAGTGTCATTTACAGCAGCGTCGGGGCGCGTGCAGCCCTGCAGCAGGCCTCCCGCTGACATCTTTAATGGACTTCATGATCTGATGGACGATACGTAGCAGCTCTCTGCTGCACTGATGCCACAAACCAACAAGGTCTGTGTGAGGTTACGGAGGAAATGGACGTTTCTGTCTGACGCAGCTCGTTTGTGTCTGCTGCAAGATTTGGAGATAGTTTGGTTTTCTTCCACCTGAATTTATAGCTACGTGAGCCGTTCACCAGAAGATTCATATTTATAGCTGATGTCCGTATCCAGTATGAGCTTCTGCTTAGATCACAGTCCACAAAAACCAGCGCGTACGTTTTCAGTTTACAGACATTATTGCACCTATTGTGTGTAAACTGTACAGTTTATAATCAGGTACATGCCTCTTCACTGTGCTTTAACCTCCAGCCAGCATGCTGTCTTTAAAAATCACCCAAATTACACTTTATTGTAGCTCCAAACAGTAAACAAAGAAAGATTTGCTCAAACATCCAATGGTCCATGAAAACATTCTTCATTAGGAAACTTGACCAAATCGAAGCTTTAAATCACGAAATTTAATCAAAATCACTTTATTCTGCATGTCTCATTTAAAAACTCGCCAAAAGAAGGATTCACAACAAGAAGATTCTGCAAAAAGCAAACAGCTATACATTCTTCAGTGTTCTCAGAAAGCAGATATGAAAAAGTCCATCCATCCATCATCTCTACACCTTAATCCTCACCAGGGTGGTGGGGGGCGGAGCCTATCCCAGCTGACTCAGGGTGAAGGCAGGTTCACCTGGACAGGTCACCAGTCTATCACAGGGCTACACTTAGAGACAGACAACCAAGCACACTCACATTCACACCTACGGACAATTTACAATCACCAATTAACCTCAGCATGTTTCTGGACTGTGGGAGGAAGCCGGAGAACCAGATATGAAAAAGTGTGTAAGCAAATTAAAGAGTTGTAAAACATCTACAGTGTGTGGAGTTACCTTCTTTTTCCATTAGTGGCATCACCTGATGTGGACTCCAGCTTTTGTTTTGTTTGTTTATTGTAAAGTGAATAATCAAAGAAATCCAACGTTCCTCCTCCTTCTGGTCGTCGTGATGTTTCTGTGGAGCTGCAGGACTTCATATGCAGTAAAAAATGATGAGCCACAGTGAGAATAAATGAGACAAGAGCATAAAACAGCCAGAAATGTGTTTTTTTAAACACTTCTTTTCTGCTGCAATGTTATTAATTCCAAGTGTTGTGTTTGTGGTCCAGCCGCTGGTTTATAGTTTGATCAATTAGGATCAGGCTACATAAATCAGAATCAGAATCAGAATCAGAATCAGTTTTATTGCCAAGTAATTTTTACATCACCAGGAATTTGACTTGGTCCATTGGTGCAAAGAAGCAGAAAACAGATACCAAAATAAAATAAAATATTAACAATACCAAAAAAAAAGGCAGATGTGAGATAGATAAATATGTCTCATTTAGATTTAGGATATTTCAGCCACTGTTTGTCTGCATCTGCTGTGACCCTGATGTTAAATACACACAGTTCATCCATATGGGACGATAACAGAAGACAATATAGACATATTTCACTAACAGTGATGATATTCTGTCAGAAATGACTTGTGAGTTTATTATAGTCTATCAGCCTAACTACAGAAAGTCAATGTCCTGCAGAGGCTTTCACCCGTTTACACACCAGATCCCACACTGACTGCAGACAGGAGTATTTATTAACCTACTCTGTGTGCCAGTGTTGGCATACGTGTGCATGCTGTCAGCTACACATGCATGAACACACTCAGTCGATGTCGAACGGAAGCTATTTATCTCAGCAACACAGTCATTTATCCACGAATGCTGAGCGCTCGGAGCAGTAATTACTCTGTCTCTGGCTGAATTTTAATTACGTCCTAGCAATGAGCCCAGCATTGTGAGCTGTGTGTGTGTGTGTGTGTGTGTGTGTGTAGGTGTGTGTGTGTGTGTGTGTGTCAGGACTCTTATCTTACGCTCGCTGCCACCTGCTGCTGTGTGAGAACACAGAGCCAGAAAGAGACGCCGAGTTCGATTAACACTTTCATTTAAAACACTACCTCAGGCACAAAGTGTGTGTTCACTGCATTGTCATGAGTGCTGTTGCTGCTGTGCATTCAGTGTTGGTTCCCACAGACCAGGACTTATTCCAGACTGTTCTGGCCCAGGATGCCGTTTTTGTCATGTGGACTTGTGACCATGGTGTGGAGATGACCTGTGTAGGTCCAGCTGTGTCCGACTGAGACCTGCTCCAGGACACCAGCTGCCAGTCATCTCAGCTAATCAGCCTGAAGACCTGCACTCTGGCCCTGGTTCTCCCCGCCTCTGGTCACGTCTCATTGGACCAGCACCACTCCTCCTCCACCCAGCAATCACCACACCTGGCTATAAAAGCAACCAGCAGCCTTTCAGTCGGGGCTGGCTGGGATTGAACGTGACCAGTCCGTCCTGGCGCCTCTCGGTTTGTGTCTTTTGTTTGCTGACGTGTAACTTCTGTTGGCAGCTGATAGCTCGGTGTGGGAGGTTTGAGAGAGTCTCAGTGAAGACTGACTCCCGTTAGCAGCTGTCCAACTTGGTGAAGCAGCTACTTGTGTTTTGAGGCACTAGTTTGTTTTAGTTTCTTTTGTTTTGTGTGGATGTTGCTGTCAGATTTAATGGTGGCTCAGGAGTTTAGTTTAGTTTAGTTTGCTAGCGTCGACACTCTGTTAGCCTTCGTTTGGTTCTTTGATTTATAGCAACATCCACCAGCTTCTTTTGTATCGTCACCGTTCTGTTATGTTGTTACGAGCAATAAATTGTGTTCTCTGAACCACTTCCATCTGGTGTGTTTTGTTGCGTCCAGCTGAGCCTAGAGGCTGGATCACAACACAGACATCGAACTAAACCAGGCAGCGGTGACATGAACACAGCCGACGTTGTCTTCTGATGGTTTTTTATTTTTCAGCTGTTCATTGAAGCAAACGTTTGACGTTTTGGCCTCTCGTCCATCCGCTGAATGCTCTGACAGCCAACTGAGTCTGACTGAGTCCAGCACCTGTAAAGCTCATGAGTCCACATGTTGCAGCTCGTTTGTTTTCCAGAGCTGCAGTGTAACAAACCAAACGAACCTTTTTCTCTTAAACTCCTTTCATGTTGTTGTTGTGAACTACGTTCCTCCTGCTCTTCCTTCATCTCCTCTTCACTCTAATCCATGTGTTTCTGTCGGATTCTTTGGCGAGTCAGTTAAAAGTACACCTCAGGTAATGTCCAGCTGTCTGAGACCAAACCGGGTCACATCCTGTCTGTATTCCCCGTCTGATCTGATTTATGCTCACAACGCCAACTTTAAACAATCCATAAATCACCACAGTGACAGTGAACATCAGTCAGCCTCTGAACCTCCCCAGGTGGACAGTGAAGGCTTTAAAGGCTTTCCCTCTACCCCATGAGCGCAGCAGCATCTTTAACTTCATGTAGCTCAACACGTTACAAATAGAGAATCGTAGGTTTTTAGGGTCTCTTGGATTTGAATGTTCGTATCGTTAGCTACTTACCGTCATCGTTTCCAACACTTAACTCAGACTGTCGGCTGGTGAAGCTCCTCTAGCAGAATTATTTGTTCATAGTTGACACGTCACCAGTGCAAAATAAAGTTTGGGAGATGTCGGGCTGCAAACGATGCACCAGGTGGATTGATCCAGACAAAGAAAGTCAGCTGTCCTCTACATGGAACAGCCTTCGTTACGTATTCAGCCTCACTGGGAAACAACACAAGGCTCTCTCTCTGTCTTCATGTGAAACAACAGCAGGAGTTTATCATCTGAGCTTACAGGGAAACAAAAAGACCAACAGGGTCGTCTCTTGTTTACATGCTGGAAGAACAAATTGACTTGAAGTCCTGGTTGTTAACGGTTGTCTTCACCATTTAATACAGCAGGATTTACACAATGATGAAACAAAGGAAGTGGAGGCACCAGGGCAGGATGGCGTCCAGGGTTCATGTGGTTTTCTCGCCATCTTGCTCCTCTAAGTGGCCCTTTGGGTGTCAAACTCCTGGAACTAAGAGCCGCTCACTGACTAATGATGTAGCACGGTTAGTCGATTTGAAGTGAGCTCTAATGGATGAAACAGGAGCTCAGAGCAGCATCTGGATGTGACTGAGAAAGGAGTTCAGAAAGGGAAAGGTGTGAAGGTGGAGCAGGAGGTACAAGGCAGAAGGGAATAAGAGGTGGAGGAGAAGATACACCTGAGACAGTGTTGTTCCTTGATCCTGTCCAGTGGCTCTACTGTCTTCACAGAGCTACTAAGAGGTTATTCATGAACACTCTTCTCCTCTTCTAGTCATTAGGTTTCCAAAGACAACAATGAAGAAGCCTCTCATTGATCAGCTGCAGCTTTCAGACCGTCCTGTTTATGACGCTGTGTTCCTGAAGCCTGAATTAGCTGAGAGCCACAGAAAGATGGTGCTTAATGCTAATGCGCTGCTGCTGCTGCTGCTGCCGGCGGCGGCGGCCGGCGGTGGATCAGAGGTCCTCTCCAGTGGCCACTTTGCCTCGACGCTTTCATCCAGCGCAGGCACTCATGAATCCTCTTCAGCCACTTCTCTCTTTTGTCAGCAGAAATCTTTTGATCTGAGCATCGTCGTCCTTCTCCAGCGGTCAGAATGTCAGCGTGTGGTGCTGTTAATTAAACGAGCTCGACAAAATAATGGCACGGCAAATATATCCAACCTGGTGACGAAGAGGAGTCGTGCTTTTGTTCAGGGAACGCGGTTGTTATCGACGCTGGCTATAAAACATGTGTTGTTGTGTGTGTTACGATTCACTTCATCTCCTGTGAAACATGGGTGCAGCTTTAAGGTCACTGCTTTGTTTACGGTGTCATTTAAACCAGACTCACAGTCACGTCGGTGCAGCACGGAATCGTTTCACAGTGACAACTCAGAAATTGTGAGTTTCCTCTATTTTTTGGCCCGTTCTTCTACCGACTGGCATCTGCTCTCAAGTTTCACTTAAAAAAAACTAGAATTTGGGTCCATGTGAGACCATTCTTTTCTGTGTTATTGCTCTGCTTTGCTGTGTTTTCAGTCATGCGTTGCTTTGATTTACTCTCCAGACCTACTGGCTGAAGTTTAGGCTGTAAATCTACTTGGTTAGCTTTAGGAAGAGATTAATGCTTAGATCAAAACACACAAATGCTGGCCACAGAGTGCTCAGTGGTTCCTAGGTTGCTACAGGAACAAGTCCCGCCAAAATAAAAGCCCTTAAAAAACACGCCTTTTCTTTTTAGTAAAAATAATACATTTTGTGCTGTTGACCAAAGTTTGGCATGAGACAGGGCTTCCAGTCAATATAATTCACATATAAACGGCATTATTTATTCATTTTTGCCGTTTGGAGACACCACATAAACACAACTTTGGCATATTGTCGACTTGTAATGCAAACAATGATTATTTACACATTTAGAGACACCTGATGAATCAAAGTTCAGTATTTGCTCTCCTTTTTGCTCCATGTTTGGTCTCCACCAACTTGTAAAGAACATATCTGGTCTTTTAGCTCCTGATTTCCACTAAATGTTCACCAGTTCATCACCAGTATTAACATCTGTCAGTGAATCATTAGTGTTTTATTCGGTCTTGTTCAACACACAGACTTTGACAGATTCGCTGCTTGTGTACGCTGTGTGGTGTGTAAACCGACTGGACTGAAGGGAACATCGTCAAAGTCTTGTCCAACGACCAAAAATATTCTGCAAGAAAAAACAGCAGCAAATGTTCATAGTTGCGAAGCTGGAATCAGAAAGTCTGGTCAGTCCACCATTTGACTGAATGTGATGAATCAGTCCGATGCAGACGGTTGTGTTTGTGTGCGACACAACTTGTCCTTTGCCTGCGACTGTCACTGCAGCAGAACGACTGCGACTTCAGCAGCTCTGCAGTCAGAAACATCCCAGCTGGGAATTCTCTGTCGCATCTCGATGCTTTCCTCTCGTGGTCGGCACATGTAAACATTGGCATTGTGATATGCAGAGTTGCAGCTTGTTGACTGCTCTGCCTTTTTCCACGACGCTATCACGTTTCCCTTCGGCCCATTCCTAGCTCGCTTTTTGTGGCTAGATGTGGAGTCACGAGTTGACATCCCAGGCGGTCCTGGTCCGTTTTCCATTAGCTTAGCATGGCTATACTTGGCAGGAGCTCTGTGAGTGTGTGTTGAGTCCTACATGACCCCTCGGCATTCCTGCAGAGCTCCATAACTCACCATCGGGGCTGTATCGGGTTCCCCTGCCCGGAAATAGGCCCGGAGCAGTCGGAAATCTCCGTCCTGCAGCATTCCCGCTCCAGCGCTTGTCGTTTTATAAATGTTTGGAAAATAGTTGCCATGTGACACTCGAGTTGAGCCTTGGGGCCGACCAGGAGTGACAGCGTGGTGGGGCCAAGTGGGTCAGTGAGCGATGAGTGAAGGGTTGTGGGTCGCAGTGGGTCGCGGTGGGTCGCGGTGGGTCGCGGTGGGCCGTGGGAGCGGCTCCCCCCGCTGGCTGCTGGACTATTGTTGTGCTGACCCGATATGAAGCCGTTGTCACTGTGCTGCAGACAGACTCTAATCCAGCAGCTTTCCTCGGTGGTGGCGGCTGTCCTCAGGTGTCAGCGCCCTGCAGCAGCACTAATCCTGGTATTCTCCCTCCTGCGTTTATTTTTATGGTTGCTATAAAATTATACTGTTGAGTCAGTTGCTGGACTTGAACCAAGAAGATATAATTTCCATTCAGAGTAGCTTCTTCAGCATCATGCAGCAGATGTGTAATCACCTGTCTGCAAAAGAAACGGAAAACCGTCGGCTCAGACGCTTCGGTTTGTGTTTCATCGATGAGTATTTTACATGTTTCTAATTTCTTTGCCACATTCTATGATTTACTCTCAAAAGTGGCCTCTCTCCTGTTTTTGTCAGTCAACATAATTACAGGAGCTGCATCAAGTAAACAGGAAGTGCTGTGTTCCATGTCACGGTAGCAGTTTGTACATAAATATTTAAAAGGTCTGGACTCACTATGTTGTTGCACCGTTTTTATTCTCACACATTCACTCACGCCGCACAAGCAGGAACTGAGAATTGAACCGACAGCCTCCTCGACCACCCACATGCCTCATATTTAAAGATATATACTTTTATGTATGTAGTCATATATCATTATTTATATGTTATTGTGTTAAGTCTATTTCCTTACATGTTTAAATGTGATTGTTATAAATGTCAGATAATAATTACAATTCAAAAGTGTCACATTTAACTCATTATTTGGTCGGATCATCTAGTCGTGTGTGTTTCCATTTAGGTGTTTGCTTTACGTGTGTCTTTTAAGGTTCTTATACAGTGTTTGCAAGATCCTGATTTCAGTAATGTTTGCTTATTTCCTATACGTTCCATATTACACACTCAGGAGACTGTTTGTGGATTTTATGTCATGCCCTAAATCAGAGCTTCTAGTTTGAAGCTGTTGGATGGATATATGGACAGACCTTAATGGTCTCACTAGATTTTAAATAAGAATGTGATCTAACGTTGAGCTTCTCCTTCTGTGTTCCAGTACCGGATCGGGCAGCTCTACATGATCAGTAAACACAGCAATGAGCAGAGCGAGCGAGGGGAAGGCGTGGAGGTGGTGCAGAACGAGCCGTACGACGACCCGGAGCACGGATCGGGCCAGTTCACCGAGAAACGGATCTACCTCAACAAGTAGGTGTAGCGGCTGCAGAGACAGCTAAACCATCAGCAAACACGAGGTCCGTGAGGTTAGTCAGAGGAAGTCTGAAATCAGTCAATGAAAACACCAACAAGTGTTTTTGACAAAGTGAGTGTGAACCTGAGAGCAACGTGTCCGTCTTTAATGAGCTGCTTCCTGTGTGACCTGAAGTGACTTCTGACAGTGACTATACAGGAAATCACCTTCAAACTGTTCCTGGCAAAGACAAGTGAAGGGAGAAAAGCTGCAGCATCATGAGTTTGCACAGAGAAGATGGCACGGTGTTTCCATCCAGCTCATTCGTCAAAATGTTTAAAACTTATGAAGCTAAATACTGAAATGCTTCTGCAGGCTGTCCCAACTAGTTGATCAGTGTGTGTTCAGTTCACATTTTATGTGTAGAAAGTCTGCCTTTTAGTCCCCAATAGATCCTTTCAATTGTTTATTTCCACAGACAGACTTTAAACCTCCTCATGTCTCGCTCCAGTAATCCTCCTGCAGAGACAATGTGACGTCTTTGGCTGCGTAGCTGTCACCACAAACACACGATCAGCCAGCGGTGAGGCGTTTAGCGATCCGTCCACGTCAGCATTTGTTCGCTTTCCTGCTAAAACAAGGAGCTGAGCATAAATAGTCAAGTGCAATAACATCATCACAGTCTTTGGGAATATTAGAATATCAGCAGGCTCTGCAGGCTGCGCTGTGTTTCTGGAGTGAATCAGTTTGCGGTTCCGTTTCATCTCTTTCACGCCTGTTTTGCAGCTCAGAGCCGCTTTGTTAAACTCGATAAGCGTGAAACTGAGAATTTAATTTTCGGTTTGTAGATGACATTTGAATTAGCTGCTCTCTTGGCTCTCATTTATGAATTTGTTCTGAACCTGACCTGATGTGTTTTCTGTGCAACATCACAGCAAAAAGGACTGATGTGGAGTTATTACTGATGCGGCTCAGCAGCTTGTTCGTTTCTCTTCTTCAAGCTGTAGCAAAAGATGAGCTTCAGACAAACAGAATGTAAGTGATCAGGAACATGGATTTATCAGGGATACCATATAATGACTGTACTGTGTCTTGATCTTGAAACTTTATTTACCGGTTAATTGTCAGAAATAATTGCAGTTTTATCATGTTTTCCATTTGCGGTAGATTGTTGGATCTATTTACCACGTTTTGCTCTCATCGGTCAAATTGTCAAAATGTCATTTTTTGCATTTGGCAAATGCAGCTGATTTATTACTAGAGGTTACGATGTTCAAGATAAACAGTTGGTGTAGTTAAGATACAACAAAAGGAAGCGTTGCAAGTGGTTCAAAATGATGTGCAAGTAGCGTTGCATCCAGCTTGCATAAATATCCATCCATCCATCCATCCATCATCTCTACACCTTAATCCTCACCAGGGTCATGGGGGGCGGAGTCTATCCCAGCTGACTCAGGGTGAAGGCAGGTTCACCTGGACAGGTAACCAGTCTATCACAGGGCTACACTTAGAGACAGACAACCAAGCACACTCACATTCACACCTACGGACAATTTACAATCACCAATTAACCTCAGCATGTTTCTGGACTGTGGGAGGAAGCCGGAGAACCCGGAGAGAACCCACGCTGCACGGGGAGAACATGGAGACTCCACGCAGGAAGATCCCGGGTGTCCTCACCGGGACGCCAACCGGCAACCTTCTAGCTGTGAGGTGACGGTGCTAACCACTGCGCCACCTGCAGGCCAAAAGACAACATAAAACAATTAAAGACTAAAACACCGATAAACAGACTGTAATGTCAACTAAACATCCCTTTTATTTATTTATTGTATGAAACTGATAAATTCAGGTTTAATATTCTAGTGATTGTGTAATTTTAGATTTGTTAGTTAAATATCTTTTGTATGAACAGATGTTGAATGTGTTTTCATCAACTCATAAGCATTGATTTCTTATTATTGAAAATGAACAGTTTCTGCAGCTGATTCAAGTCAAACCCGACTTTTATATTGTGTTGCACTTGATTATTTGCATTATAGAGTTATTCCACATGTCAGTATCCTTTATTAAACATTAAAGAGGCAGAATCTTGTAGGATTGTTATGTTTCTGGTGCCCCAGCAGCAGGAAGATTACAGTTTCTGTTCTGTTTTGTTTTACAGTGTTGTTCTCCAACGCTTAAACTAAATCAAACTAGTTTAATTCATCTGCTTCTCCTTGCTGGAATAAAACTTTATTTCTATTCCTATTTTCCCTGGATGGTAGTTTGAATGTATTTCGTATATGTATATATTTGTTAAAGATATGTTTTGGTGAGATAAGAAAGCAGAGTGGATGCTGAACTCCATCAGGTTGTGCAGCAGACGACCGGGACGCTGAAAAGATAAAAGTATGAGACGAAACTGGAGCCGCATGCAGAATAATAAGAGAGCGATGAGGTGAAGTTCTGTGGTCGGGAGTGACAAGTTAGTGGGCCTCTGGGAAATCTGAGGTGTCAGGGACCGAGGAGAGGAATTCATAGAGCCGTGTGTGTGTGTGTGTGTGTGTGTGTTCTTGGCTGAGTGTCAGAGTGTGTGTGGGCAGAGAGAGATGAGGTCAGTGCAAGTGATGGATAATTTGAGCAGTCGCTGTCGGACGTCGAGCCTCCCTCCACCCACAAACCACCTGTTATCATATTATAGCTGCAGTCTGTGTGTGTGTGTGTGTGTGTGTGTGTGTGTGTGTGTGTGTGTGTGTGTGTGGGTTCGGGGCCTGTAAATAATGCAGCGTGAGGACATGTCTGCTGTGTCTGGACGCTCCCGTGGCGGTGGACAGGCCTTTGCAGAGGAACCTGGGGAGCGTCGGTCTCACGTCCCAGCAGCCTCCACAGACTCTAGATGCAGAATAAGAAAAGAAGAGGGCGATGAGGCAGGGCTTAAAGGAAGAATTATCCAGGAATCAGCTCCAGCTTAATGATGGCCTTGTGTCCTCTCACGGTGCTGGACTGGCTGATTTCCAGGCCGCAGCGAACGGTTTCTGATGGGACTCGTTAATGACCCTGTTCTCTGGGAATATAAAGCCAATCAGGACTTACTGTTCCTTTGTTGAAGGTTGTTAAAAGTTGTAAAACGTGTGTCTTGGCAGCTCTCCTCCCTTCCTATCTCGTTAGCCGAGGTATTTACCCTGATGTCCCCTTTTCCTCGGCAGCAGTTTGCATTTTGATTGGACGTCCAATAAGGTGCTACTGGGCTGCAACGCTCAGAATCCATTTGTGTTGAGTAGAAGTCGGTCCTCTGTGTGTTCGTCCCTGCCCCCGTCTCCAGTGAAGCTCTCCTGCAGGGTGTAATCAGTGTAATCAGCCTTCCCGGGAAGCCTCCATGATGGCTCCACTCAGCTGGGTGCCTCCCATCGCCTGTTCAGGAGCAGAGAGACTCTAGGAGAGGACACTGTGCAGCACACAAGCTCTTTGTCTCGTCGGTCCAGCTCTTCCTCCAGAGTTTGCCAACCTGTCCACTCTTCTTTCTGTGTTGTAGCAAGCTGCCCAGCTGGGCCCGAGCTGTGGTCCCGAAAATATTCTACGTCACAGAGAAGGCTTGGAACTACTACCCATACACCATCACAGGTAATGTTTCTGTGCACAAGAGCAGTTCATTATCTGTAGGGCATTACACCGTACAGCCTGTGGCTCTCGTAGAAATGATTACTTCCTCTGAAATAACATCCCGACGTCGATAACTTCCATTTTCTGCAGCCCAATACAAACACAGTCCTGCTCACTGCTGGCGGCCGTTACCGGGGATCACTGGGAGGGCAGGAGGACGTAGCGGCAGCATGCTGTCCTCAGAGAACCAGTCAAGTGTGGCTCACTGCTGCTTTCTGAGTTTCTTATTTGCATCTTTATTTCTGGTTTGCAGCACTGACCTCAGCAACTAAATATCAGGTCCCACTGCAGACTGTATGTTGTTTCTAGTGCTGCTGCAAAGCCGACACAAAGACGATCCATCTGTGAGCCTCCTGTGAAGTTTATCATTTAACGAACCTGTAGAGGAGGCAGAGCAGAATGCAGATGAACGTCTCAGCAGCCTGCAGATATCTCTTGTCTCCTGGAGGTGGTGAACAGGCAGCTCCTCTGCTCAGTGTCACGGATTTAAAAAATAGGACTGTGTCTTAGTGAAATGGACTTCTCTCATGGGTTTCTGCTGAAGTGCTGCTGCTGCTGAGGCTTAATGGTCCTTTTTTCCATTTTGAGCTAAATTATTTTTTATCCTCTGTTTCTTTGTTCTCTCCGACCCGCCGCACGCCTCCCATCTCTGCCCATTACACTGATGGCCTCTGCTGATGCTATGATCAGAGTACACGGTGAGTAGCTTCACACACACACACACACACACACACACACACACACAGAAACACTGTCATCCTGCCACTGGGATGCAAATCTTTTAAAGGTGAGAGAAGCTGCTGTCACACTCTGACAGGAGGAAAACTACACACACTCCTTAAATAATGAGGTGAGGAGTGTGTGTGAGCGGTGTGGAGTGGAGTG